CTGCTTCAAGAAGTGATTTCCGCTGCAAGGGTGTTGGCTATTTCCCATTTAAGGATAACGGAAATTATAAGTCCAAGTAAGGCTAAAATAGCTCTATATTATATTTGACGACGTGTCGTGTGACGGTCAGCAGAAAATTCGAGAGTATTACTCCATGTGTCGTCATAAAGATATCGATGCTGCATATCTCTGCCAAACATACTCTAAATTCCAAAACAGCTCATACGAGACAACTGTAACATTATAGTACTATTTAAGCAGGATGAAATTAATCTAAAAACATATATTTGATGAGCATGTATCTCCAGATGTTACTTTTGATGAATTCAAAAAGATGTGTTCGGATGTTGGGCAGAAAAGACGGTACGTTAGTTATTGTTAAAGACTTTCCTCTTAATTATGGTCGATACAGAGTAGGATTTGATAAGTACATAAAATTGTAGGCTTATCATGTACGCCATCATTCAGTAAACATGATGTCAAAGGACCAAGTTGCCGTTGCTAGTCATAAAAGAAAGATCGCAGAACTTGCTCGAGCTATACGTAAAAAGTATCTTACTTTAAAGTTAGGTCGAACTGCAGAAGATGAATCTATTAGAAAACTTTTCAAACCAATATCTGAACCTCTTAAGCAAATAGCTAAGACTCAGCAGCATCCTTCATTTATTATTAAAAAAGAGGAAAAATTGAAACAGGATGATGATGATGATGATGATGATGTATTCACACAGAACCCAAACTATCTCAATTTAGAAGACGTGGCTTCAACTGATGAACAAGGTAATATACCGCCGAGACCTGAAACACCACCACTACCTGAAGAAATGCGTCCTGCTGATTTTTCACAAGAAGCAATAGAAGAATACTTAGATCAATATCCCCCAATAAGCCATAATTATTTACAAGATTTTGGACACAAAACGATAAAATTGATAAAAATTATGGACCTATATATACCGACAACATTGGTTGGATGTTAGGTAAACGCCGAATTAAATTTGATAGAGCGACTGGCCAAATACAGATATTACCTGAGGGGACAAACTTAGCAGGTACATGGTTTCGTGGCACACCTGGGCTGTATCAACTTTTATTCTATAATGACCCAAACTATGCAGATGCAGATTTACAACCCTATAAAAATCTATTGCAAAGTACCGGTGTTCATTTAGATTCGCTTGGACGCCTAAAAGGTTCGACAGGATTTAAATATAATCACATTATTAAGCCTCTCTTTAAAGATGTGCAGAAAAATAAAGGTACAATTGTCACACGATCAACATCTACAAAAATACGTAGTCCACTTAGTCGATCATTAACAAGATCCACTCCCTCAACAACAACAACAACAACAACATCATCAACATCAAAACCGCCAACAGGAAAAGGTATCGGTGATTACTTGACATACAACGAGGAACCAATCGAATACGTGTACTGGGATGATCCCAATGAATTAATCGATCGACTTAAACTCCTTATGGCATCTCAGGAAGCTGGCAATACGTCGCATGATAATGAAATAGTAGCCATCCTCAACGAGCTAAAAGAAGCTAATATAATACAGTAATCTAGTTCCTTGGTCTTTCATTTACACGATGAGTCTTGATAAATTCGGACGTCGCTTTGATAAACAAAAGACACTTCCGTATATGCGTACACCGCCAAAGTTAACACTACCCCATACTTCTGATGGAAATGTTGACTTCAAGAACGTAAAGTTGTGTAATATAAAAGATCCCACAGATAATTCAGATGCGGCAACTAAAAAATACGTAGATACTTCAGTGATTGATTTAAAAAAAATAACAGCAAAAACAGATCAAATAACAGAGTTTATTTCGAGAAATCCGCCTACTTCTGGTAAACATATGGCAACAAAAAAATATGTAGATGACTCTATTGCAAATATAACAACAAGAATAGAACAGGAGTTGGCTACAATTAAGTCTCATACCGATTTGACTCCAATAAGGAAAAATATCATTGAATGAATTACAACTTTTGCAAGGACGCACATCATATATATCATTGAAAACATTCGATCTTGCTAAGCGTATAAAGCCGATGGAACAACAATTTAAAGCGTTAAAACATGATGACGTACGCCAAGGAGAAGCTACAACTAGTTAACGAGCTGCACAAGCCTGCTCGAAAAAATTATCTAAGACGACGTACCATCATTAAAGGCTTAGACGATTTATGGCAGACGGACTTGGCTGAAATGCGACCTTATGCTCATCAAAATAAAATTTCAAATTAATTCTCGTCGTAATCGATTCTTTTTCCAAGTTTATGTGGACTAGACCGTTAAAGACAAAGACGGGTGAGGAGATAACTCGTGCGTTTTCGGATATCCTCGCACATACGGAACGTACGCCGAAAAATCTACAATCTGATCAAGGTAAAGAATTTTACAATAGTAAATTTCAAACTTTAATGAAGAAGCATGATATTAATCATTATAGTACATATAGCATCAAGAAAGCGGCCATTGCTGAAAGAGCCATAAGGACGTTGAAAATAAACTTTACAAATACTTTAGCTTAATGGGATCGTATAAATGGATTGATATATTACAAAGCATTACCAATGAATACAATGGAACACGTCATCAAACCATCGGATGTAAACCATCACAAATTAATAAATCCAACGAAAAATGTATCTTAAATCGAAAATATACTCATTTAAAAATCGCGGGCCCGCGTAAGTTTAAAGTTGGTGACATTGTACGCATCAGCAAAACCAAAATGCTATTCGACAAGGGATACGTTCCAAGCTGGACAACGGAATTATTTAAAGTTACTAAAATTAATATTACCAACCCTGCAACGTACATGCTCGAAGATATGCAAGGTGCACCGATCAAAGGAGCCTTTTATGACGAAGAATTACAGAAAACAGCCAATCCAGATGTTTATTTAGTTGAAAAAGTTTTACGTCGTAAAGGTAAAAAAATGTACGTCAAATGGCTTGGCCTTGATGCAAAACATAATAGTTGGATTGACAATGATGCGATCGTCTAGGTGTATGGGGTGGGGGGGTTTCTGCTAAAAGTGAGTTCTCAGTCGGTTGCAGTCAGTCAGTCAGTCAGTCAGGCAGCTAGTAAAAAAAAAAAAATGGATACCAGTGGTAGTGGTTCAAGTTGCAGCGAGTTTGACCTCACCACCAGCAGCTCACACGAATCATCTGTAAACTACGACCGTGAGCTGGATGCTATTCTGGAAAGGTACGAAGAAGCGGCCAAGAACGAGGACCATTATCTGCTGTACACGCAGTTTCCAAATGGATCATACCAAATTGGATGCGGTCTAAGCCCAGCGAGATCATTTACTCCTGCTGTAATTGTGTGGAACTCATCACGGTTGAAACTATCTTTCAGTTCCTATGAGTGGGAACAATTAATCACCCAGCTCAATGTGGTAACGGTGAAGGAGACGGAGGAGCAGGAGGAGGAGAAGAACCTTCCTGACAAGTATGATCCTGTCGAAATCGAGTGCGGTGACTATTGCAGAATTCGACGACTAATCTATGATAGTACGAAAATTCTCGAAATAACCAAGCACAACATTAGTTTCTACCTCTCAGAAATGGACGTGAACGCTCTTTTAGAAGCAAATAATGAACTTTTAGTACCGTATATGTCTATGCTAGAAACTGTTGAATTTCCAAGCTATTATTATAATGCGCTTAAGATTGTTCGAGCTAGTTTTAATGATCAAAATTATACGTTTTCAGATGCTATTCAAAAATTGTATACATTTAAGCTCGTAGGCTGTACTTTACAACATATAGCGTTAGGACAACATATATTTTTCTATAGACATAGGATCGCTAATGATCTTGAACGATTTTAATAAAGTTTTTGTAAAAATGCATATCTGTCGTTTCATTATGATATACGTCACGTAACGTGACACGTGACGTGACGTGACACGTGACGTACGTGACGTGACACGTGACGCACGTGACGTGACACGTGACGCACGTGACGTGATACGTGACGCACGTGACGTGATACGTGACGCACGTGACGTGATACGTGACGCACGTGACGTGCACACTTTGTTCAAAAATACCAAAAAGATGTCTTGATAGCCCGAAGAACCGCGCCACAACATCAGAAGTAATGTTAGTATTATGTGTGTGCGTGTTTTTTTTTTGTTTTTGAACACGCTAAGTTTTGAACTCCAACCACGCACTAACATTGCTTCTGATGTTGCACACCTCTGACGACTCAAGCTATCAGGACATCTTGTTGTTGTTGTTGTTGTGAACTCTTCTTACTAGAAAAATCTAACGAAATCAATAAAACATCTTTTTATAAATATTCATTTATTAAATCTAATTACATACATGTTTGAAAAAATATATATATATATAAATGTTAGTACTACATACATGTTTGAAAAAAAATATATATATAAATGTTAGTACAATAGATAGAGAGAAACTGGAGGACGGATGAACGCTTTTTATATATTTTTTTGTAATTTGTTTGCTGTGATGTTTTTTTTTTAAAACTCAATATCGCTGTCTACATCAGATTCATCAAATCGGATTCGGATGTTATTTCTAGACCTATCATGTAAGGCATCTCTGCAAGATTCCTGGTCTTTTAGTTCAAACACTACGCTTTTAAAGCAGCTGTGACACCAATTATACTTTTTTTGGTATACGTTCAAAATAATGTCATGTGCATCGTGAACCTCGTGAGAATGGTCATAGCAGGCAAATAAACGTTTATTTAAAGTTTTATGTATTTCTTTAAATTTAGATAAACAATTTTTACATACGTGTAGGTAATATTGGTCCAGCCAATATCCACTTGTCCATAGACAGTAACTAGAATAATCTTCAAAAACATAACCCCAATCTGATTTTCCTAATATAGTGTGAATTAAATTTGGATCTATTTCTTTGTGACATCTAATAAAGTTAATTCCTGTATATGAAGAATCAAGATCATTTTTGGCTTCTTTAATCATAGCGTGCCATTTATATAAAGGAAATTGTTTCACAATTTCCGTAGTTAATTTCCATGGTAGTGGAGACTGCTCCATGAATTCTACTGCTGATGATGTTATTGATTCGCAAATTTTTCTAACAGCTAACTCTGATAATGTTGGGGCATTCATCTATAACAAAAAAAAAAAACGCTATTATAAGATACTGTAATGCCCCCACGGAAGTGTGTCAAAACTGTTCGGAATTAAATAACGTTTGTCGTCATACGGACTTAAACTAATTTTTGACTGTTCAACAGAATATACGTTGTGTGCATACGACCTGATACAGCGTTGTGTAGCTGTTTTTTCCTTAAATTCTTTCAAACATTCAACATAATCCTCAAATGCAATTTTATTTTTAACAACATTGTACTTAACCCCTTTAGATTTTTTAACCACCTTCCCACCCTGCACCTTGTAACTATACATTTTGCTTCGAAGTCCAACAAAATGTGTCATAATTTTACCGTTATTTTCATCTTTCATTAGACCCGGCACCTTTTTGTTCTTACGCAGTATTTTATATATGTTATTTTCAGGATAATCCGAAGTATCAAATTTACTGGAATCAGCTTTAATGATCTCCTCATATGCATCCTCACATTGCAATTCGTAGATAAAACTGTCTGTGTCCATGTACATGAGCTTACACCTTTCTGCACCCATTTTTGGTAGCATATAGGTGTAATGAAAATCGTACATGACTAGTTTCGATAGGTCTAGAATTGCCTGCCCTACATACAGAGGTTTGTTAAACGTTATTTCAGCCTTGTTCAATTCGATAACCACCAGATTTTCCTCTAAAATTGTGCGACTGTGGAACCGAAAACTCGAAATCAAGTTTGCTGCCCCATAGCGACCACCCCAAGATTTAACGATTTTACATACGCGGTGCTTACGTATATTTTCCATGGTCTTACCGAATACTGCATTATTCATTAATTTAAAAAGATTTTTTTCGAAATCATTCCGGGCTGCAGCTCTACATCGAGTATTCAACTCGATGTAGGGTTTCAGCCAGGCTGCTTGTTTAAATTGTAAAATTTTATGGATTTTCGTTAACTTTAACCCATTAGCTAGCATTTGTTTTAAATTTTTATAGTGAACCGTGTACTCTTTTTTATCCGTAAGTGTTGCCATTAAGTTCGGCAATTTTACCCCGCCGTCGCTGGGTGGTACGCTACGTTCTGCCGCAAACGGAAAATCTTTGTGTTTATCGTGCAGTTCTTGTGGGTACGATAGATCGACTTGTAGCACGTACCCTACGTCAGAGTCGTCGGGTATTGACATCACATCAAACGATGTTACATCATCTACCCATTTGAACCCTCCGTAGGGTAAGGGTTGCTGCATAGCCTTCCCATATAAGCTATTCACATCCAGGTACATAAGGTACTTGGACGGCTTTTCAGGATCATATTCGGGCATATATTTATTGTTGGCCTCCGAAAATCGGTTGCTACACACCGAAATTCCACCTCTTATAGCATTTTCGTAAAACATCACCATATCTAGATCCTTTAGTAGTTCTAACTTACACCCAGTGTATTTGAGCATACAGTCCCACGTATATCCGGGCATTGTATAGTACCACGCAGGATCCAGACCATAGGTGGAGAAACATTTTTTACGCAATTGCTCAAAAACGTCGGCAAGAAGCAGAATATCTGTTTTTAAATATATATCAGAATACTCTCCTAATGTTTTAATGTTAAACTGTTGCCAAACAGATTGCGCATGAGCATACTTCTCGTCACTTACACTTTCATCGTTTAATTTATTGTAAAATTTTTCAATTGGGGGCAAAGTCGTTTCATTTAATTTTTTCAACGAATCAATGTAATCGTAACAGAAAACTCCTTTCTGTGTTAATAATTTGAATTTATCTTCATCTAAATTTTGAAATTCCCTTTGTAAAATTTTCTTTTCTGATACTGCTAAAATTGAAGCTAATTCATCAAGAGACGCCCCCATAAATCGAAAAGAGTCTATAAACCGCAATTTAATGTTATTTTCATCTGAGTGCAGCGTAAAGGAGATGTATTTATCTTTGTTGATGGGAAGTAGACTTAAGCGACCTTTTTTACATAAATTCGAAATCATAAAGTGACTATCGTACCCACTTAAATTATGGAATATAACCGGCACAACAAACAATTTTCTAAAGTTCAGATTGCATGCTTGGTGTGCGTAACCTCTGAACTCTCCACTGAAATGGTTGTGATCTCTAACGATTATGTCTTTTTTTGTTTTTGAAAATCTCTTACCGCAAATATGACATGATGTTGCCTTACATGTGTCTAATTTTTCAATCATAGGTACGCTTGTTTTTATTTTTGAGTTTACAAATTGCGCAACACCAGCCATACGATTTGCAAACCAATCCATACAATCTGCACCTCGAAAGCTCTCGAAATAAGAAAGGCTATCATCATAGCTGCATTTTACATAGAAACCAGCACTATACGGAACGTGTTTTTGATATTTTATGGTTTTAGTTAAATTTACGACGCTACTTTCTTTATGATTTTCTAATTGACATTCAAAATCTGCATAAACAACAAAAGGAGTATTTTGTTGGTATGTAAAGTTTTTAAATTCAACGCAGCTCTCTTTAGGAAGGTTAATTTTATATTTATTAAATTTAGAACACAGTTTTTCATGTTCAACTAATTTATTTTGCTGATGGAAATAGTTCAGACATCTATCGCAAATAAATTTTTTCTCACGATGTTTATTTAACTGGCTACTAATAAGACGCGAAAGATTTTTAATCCAACAATAGTGATATTTAATTTCATCGATTGAATCATTATCTTCATTTGCTGGCGCTGGTGGAGGAGCATCATAATCATTTAAACGCGGATAATATTTATTTTGAGCTAAAAGTAAATTAACATGCGTATCCCGTTTATTTTCCGTTAATCTTGCTGGTACTACTATGTAAAATGATTTTTTTTTCTGTTTCGATCAATTCTAAAGCGTAAACATTGACTGAAATGTTATTCATCTTTTCAAATTTTGAAATTTTTGTTAGCAGCATAGGACTATCTAAATTTTCTGTTTGTAAAACGTCAGTAAAGTGTGGATATGAGGAGGTTAGTTCTGCATGTCTTTTATTGCTAGGAGTCCGAAGAGCGCTTACAATGGCCCAGTAAAAGCAATTTTGATCTATATTTTTAATGTTTATACAAGCATTTTTCCTTATAATCGGTTCTGGTAGTCTAATATAAGATGAACCGTTTCCCAATTGATATTTACTGATATTAACAACTAAGGAAATAATTTTATTTAACGCAAATCCCGAATCTTTTTCAGCAAATTCCGATAATTCGTTTAAAAGTTTATCTTTCACATATATCTTAAACCACTCGTCTATTTGAGTTGATGTATCAATAATATGATTTTTAGTATTAATATATTTAATTCCCAAAATTTCATTATCCCCCGATTTCCTAATAAACTCCCCGCAAAATGTTGTATTTACTTTGAGCGCACAATGGGTGTTCAAAATATTCCTAATTTTCCTTTTAAAAACAACTACACAATCTGCTAAAAATTGATTCAAGTCCTTATGACGCAAATTAGCTATGGAACCGGTTTTTATTCTACTTTGAAAGCTCGATTCTACATTTTCCCATCTAACCCTCTGACCCAATGTTAAGTGAAGTCCTGCCCCAATATGTCTAGTTAAAATCAACTTTCTAAAATGTTTAAAATGCCCCAAATTTGTTTCTACTTTTCTACAGGTCCCTACAGATAATTTATTTTGCCTTCTACTACGAATTACCCGTTTACATAATCTAATTTGTTTTTCTATTCGTTTCAGCCACACTTCCGCGTCTCTGATTGTAAAATTATCAAATAAAATTTTCCGTAGACTAACAATTGATAGTAGAACACCGTCTGTTTGTTTGATGATCTTTTTAACCTTATTTGAAGACATTTGAAAAGACGACATTTTTTTTTTCAAGCAAACACATTACTCAAAAATATATAAAAATGCTCACCCTGTCCTCCTCCTCCTGTTCTCTGCTTTGTTAATTTTCCACTATTTTGAATGATGCTAGCGGTCGGCTTTTCCCTACGTCCACTTCCCCTTGGAAGATGATCGAGTATTTTCCGTGAAAAAGTTCGTCGATGACCGGCTGGTACGTTTCCGTCACCCGCTGTGGTAGAAATAGCACTTCCGGTCCTAAATCTAGTAGCACGGCTTCCCCAAATTTCGACTTGACCACTTTAGCTGCTTGGATTGCAAATGGTGTCCCGACTGGTAGGTCCTTTAATTTTCTGATAGGTTTGCGGTCTACAATCGAAGACGCAGCATTAATTTTTGATAAATCCATCTATAAAAAAAATTGAGTCGTCTAACTATTTTGAAGCATAACACGAAAAAACAGTTGCACTTAGAGACATAAAAAAGAAAAATATTAAATAAAATAGCACTTACTTTTTTTAAAATTTTCGCTATCTCGTCTCTCTCGAAGCACTATTGTACTGCGGCCGTTGTTCCAGCTTGCAGCGTTGTGCGTTAAGTGTGAAACAATGATGACTATTGCATGCGCTCGCTAAATATAAATACGTGGTTGAGATAACACACGCGTGCATGAGATAATTGTATCGTAAATATGCATATTATATGCATCATATTCTCAGTACCATTTTTATCGAGAAAACAACATTCATTGCGGTTGCAGTATTTTTTATATAATTTCTTAGTAATACATGAATGTATCGTTTGTCCGGCGGAAATTCCAATTACAAGTTGCACATGAGAGTAGAAATTTAGAAATATAGTAAATTCGTGTATGATTATTGTATATTTGCTGCCTAATTTTTTTTCAGTCAAGATTTTGATTGGGGGGTAAACGAATTTATATTTGCTATCTGAGATTTTTGACATCATTCTCTATCAGGTGTTGGTTCATGAAATTGGACATGCTCTCGGCATAGCACATAGTGCTTCTCCGAATGCTATGCTAATGCTATAATGTTTGCCTTCTATCAGCATGAGATTCGTGGTCTAGATGTTGATGATATAAATGCAGTACAATATCTATATGGAAGAAAAAACAAATATGATTCAATCCCAACGTCTACCACCGCATCAGCAATACCAAAAACAACAACAACTATAAGATCTACAACTCGTAAGCAGCCGATCCTCAAAAATTTGTGTGATATTATTCCAGATTTTATGTTTTTAGCTATTGCTCCAGAGTTTTCAAATTACCGATTATATATTGCACATGATATGTTTATATGGAAACTAGACTTAAACGAAATGATTATCCCATCTCAGCCTGAACTTCTTGTCGATTATGTTCCTACAGAATTACGTCAATACACTTTACAACATATTTTCCAATCAACAAACGGTGACTTGATTACCATTGTGTCTCCAAACAACTATTTCTCAGCATCATTCCCTACCATTAAATTTCTTGATAATTTTTCAATTGATATACCCGATAGGGCTCGAATCAATGCTATTTTTCAATCAAACGCAGGACGGTCCTATACCTTTTATAATAATATGTCATATATAGAATTTTCTAACGATTTTACTGATGTGTTGAACAGAGGACGGATAAGAGACATATTTCCTGGGTTACCTGAAGTTTAGGGAAAAAATTAAAAAACAACCAGAACTGAACCGTGAAATACATAATTTGATTCTTGTCTGTCATGAACCAAATCAGTTGTCGAACAATGATTTGAGTCGATTAGTATCAACATCTAAAGTACTCCCTGATATGTAGTTTTATTGAAAATACCTCTGGTTTGCGAAATAATATTGTCGGAATTTCTTGTTGCAAGTTGTTCAAGCGCGGGTATTCAAAACATGGCACACACACACACACCAATCAACCTTATTGTTATATATACTATATGTTTCAATAAAATATCCATTATACTATTTTCATTTTGAACGGTATCATCCTGTATAATAATAACAGTACATCGTATACAGGTTATGAGACATTCTGACCGACCGACCGACCGACCAGAGGAGCCCACCACGCTATTTAGGTCACGCCTTGCTATATACGATTTAACGATATACCGTCGGTCCATCGATCCGCTATTTTTCGATGCACCCCTGTATACACGTTGCCCCCCGTAATCCACGCCAACACCAGACAGGTGCGACATCGGCGCCATCTATGCGCGAGATGCCCAACCCATCAATGGCAGCTGTCCAATGACGCATAGATTCCGTTAGGTTTGTACACCGCCAAACAAATCTACGCCATTTATGCGCGAGATGCTCAACCCATCAATGACAGGTGTCCAATGACGTATGACAGATGACGTGTAACGCCATCTATGCGTGAGATGCCCAATGACGCATGACAGGTGTCCAATGACACACAGATTCCGTTTGGTTTGACAGCGCCATCTAGCGGCGGAATCCCCAACTCATGAATACAGATTCCGTCCAACAACCTGTCAATGGCGCGCGACGCCAGCGCCTCTGGTGGCGGATTTTGGAAGTTTTGAGACCGAATCCCCATAAGACATCTACTTCTGAATAAATGATAGCAGTATCGTCTGCAAAACATATGTTTGTCCCGTCCGATTTTAAGCTAAGCAGGTCATTAATGTAAAGTGTAAATAATAAGGGGCCTAACACTGATCCTTGTGGGACACCAAAAGTTACCAGTTTGTTTATGCTTAAGGAATTATTTATTTGTACTGTGTTCTGTTGGAAATGTAACTTTTCATGAGGTTATAAGTATTACCTTTTCTTTTGCTAGATCTCAGAACATACACAGGGTATATTCATTTTGGTCCAGTAATTTGTATAATTTTGATGTCAAAAAAGAAAATGCGTCTTGGTGGACTTGTTTTTCTGCAATCCAAATTGTTTTTCATCAATCGGATTTTTTACAAAAAAAATATAAATCGTGTTTTTATAATTTTCTCAGTAAATTTTGTAAAACTGGATATTAGGGTTATAGGCATTTAATTGTTAGTATTTGTTTTTCCACCGGATTTGTGGATGGGTTTTACTACTCCTACTTTAGAATCATCTGGAAATTCTCCCAATTCAATTATCAAGTTCGTTATATACATGAATGGTTTACAGATTTCGAATGAAATCTTTAACATTTCTGATCGTATACCATCAGGACCTGGGATTTTTTTATTCTTCAAACTGTGTATGGCGTTTTTTATTTCATCTTCAGATACAGGTTCTAAGAAAATTGATTGTTGTATGCAGTTTCTGGGCGGAATATTTGCGTTAGGTTTATTTATTTTCATTGCTAATTTGTTATCTACGTCTATACAGGGTGCGCATCGAAAACGAAACAGACGCATTTACTGGCAGCTCAGTTTTTTTTTTGGAAAAACGCTCAGACCCGTCGATTTTGTTTTCGAGGTGGACAAAAGTTTAAAATCTTAAATGGAAAGGGGGTCGAGTAATACCTTATTTTAAAGGTCTTTCAATTCCCTTTATAATTATATAAAATACATGAGCTTCAGTTCAGTAGTTTTGAAGCTTTATTGATTTAAAGCTTAAAGTAGACTTTAATAGGTACATCAGATTAATTTGTACTACTTACAAAAGAAATTCCACTAAAAGAATTTACTTAATAAGTAAATGTTTTTCTTCACTACGCCCATGGTTTGTTTATCATTTTGTTGTTGAAAATAGCTATTGGTGGAGCGTTATTTGTGGCAAAAAAGTTATTTCTTGAAGAAAGATAAGGAAATATCTCGTACTTTTTTAAATAGGAATTTAGTACATAGTTTGCGATTGATTTGGCCAAACTTTGTTGCTAAACTAACTTGTAACGCTTTATTACATAAATTAGCCATGGTATATTCCACCGCAGAAAGAGTTGAAATTATCGAAATATTTTTCGGAAATAATCAGTGCGCTAATAGAACAGCAGAAATATTAAATGAGCGACATGAGAACAGTAACGTGCATCGAAAATATGTTCAAGAACTTGTAGCTAAATTTCGGGAAACTGAGTCAGTCGCCAATAAAAAACGCAAAATTGAAAATCCCATAAGGAACGAAGCAATAGAAGTGGGGGTTTTAGGGCAAGTTTATGTAGATCCTACGTTAAGTACCCGCAAATTGGTGACTGTGTGTGGTGTTAGTCGACGTACTGTCCAACGGATTCTAAAGGCCCATTGTTTTCATCTGTATAAAATTCAACTGGTACAAGAACTTAATGAAGACGATTTTGATCGGCGATTACAATTTGTGAAGATATGAGTGAACGAATTATAAACGATGAACATTTTCTACTCAACACTTGCTTTTCCGACGAATGTTTCTTGTTCTTAAATGGCGTAGTAAATCGTCATCACTGCCGATATTGGTCCGATTCTAATCCCAGAATTTATCATGAGGTTCATATACAGCAGCCACAAAAATTAAATGTTTAGGCTGGTATTTTTGGCGATCATTTAGTTGGTCCTTTTTTATTACCTGGAAATTTGACCGGTGAAATGTATTGGAATTACTGGAAGACGCCATAGATCCCGCATTAACAGCCATAATTGAAAATCAGAATGATCGGCGGTACATTGCGAATAGGTTGATGTTCCAACAGGATGGTGGCCCACCACATTACGCATTACGTGTTCGACAATATGTAGATCAAAAGTTTCCTAATCGATGGACTGGTAGAAGTGGTGCCATTGAATGGCCCCCAAGATCGCCAGATTTATCACCTTTGGATTTTTTTATGTGGGGTCATTTAAAAAGCAAAATCTATGCTACTCAGCCAACATCATTAGAAGACCTGCGACAAAGAATTGTGAATGAGTTCTTTCAAATTACTCCTCAAATATTGCAAAATGTGCGGCAATGTTTTGAGCAAAATCTTTATTATTATATATTATATATAACATTTACTTGCCCAACGGGTCAGTTCATTCTTCATTTTTAAATTACTTTGCTGCGAAATGTATTGATCTCCACTAATGATGATGTAATAATTTTATTTAAGATTTTGGGGGTGGTGTAACCCCCCCTCAGGGGGCTGCACGTGCTAACGTGATTTTTTGACAAACTTGTATCCCCCTCGAAAACAAAATCGACGGGTCTGAGCGTTTTTAAAAAAAAGCTAAGCTGCCAGTAAATGCGTCTGTTTCGTTTTCGATGCGCCACCCTGTATAGTAATTATAGAGTGCATCAGCAATGTCTTTACTTGTGTTGGATTTTATTACGTCTTCAATTTTTGTTTCAGGTTTGGACGAATTGCAGATTGGTCAATCCAGATTTTGAACTGTCTAAGGTTAGTAGAACTGTAAAATGCCTCCTCAGGTAGAATGTTCCACAATCTCGACACCCTAGGGACAACGGAGCGGTCGTATCGGCCGGCTCTGGATGCACGAAGTTCGACACGATTAACATGAGGTCTGTCCGGCTTATCGACTTATAAAAACAAATTTTCTGACCAAAATAAAATGCTATTATTCCAAATTTTCCATTCACAGTGTTCCTTTGTCAGCTGCTGGCTCCAATCCAAACTCAGATGATATGCGATATCGCTACTGGACCGCAGCAAATTCAACTTATGATAATTTGGTTTGATTTCCCCGGATAAATACAAATTATTGGCGAATAATTCTTCGGCGATACAAAGCTCGCAAACAGATATATCACCGAGACCCGAGGAAAATATCGCAATATGTATCGGCAACAGTCTTGTTTATGACTTTCTCTTGCATGTAATTCTATAAATAGCATTGCAGGCCAGTATCATCAATGGCAAGCCTCGCCCAAGAACGGATTTGGTTTAACATATTTAATACTTACAATGATACAGGGTGATGAAGAGAGATCGCGAACAAATTTTTAACTCTCTGTTAAGGGCATTCTGAATTTTTGTATTGAACAAGCCATAGTCTCAAAGCACTCGTTCCAAAAGGAGATGTCCTCACTGTTACACAACAAAAATGCCAGCAGGGGGGTGAACTGTCTTATGGGCGAACTGGCAACACCAAGGCACAAAACACATAAATCTCCAGGCAGAATCTAAGACACTTTCTTACCAACAGAGTTCGATTTTTGATAAACGATAGTTTGACTTTCCCTGGGAACTTCCATTTTGTTTTCAATCTGTGTTTTGAATCGGGTAAGCTACACATTACATTTTTAATTATTGATTTAATTCCCAATCGAGGAATTATTTATTTATTTATAATAATCCGTACACTGCCTGAACAGAGTGATCCAATTAACAGGCAGGGAAAAAACAAAAACCAAACAAAAACAAAACTCTAAACAGTACATAAATATAAATTATACAATTGTTAAAAAACACCTCTTGAGATCGATTTTGGTGGAACTAGAAATATCAAGTTCACTTACACATAACGTAAAAACGCTATTAAAGATTTTGAGGTCATCGGCATATAGGAGGTACAAACGCAAGTCTGTTGTAACATCATTCATAAAAATTAAAAATAATAGAGGACCCAGAACAGAACCTTGGGGCACCCCTGATGTAGCTAAAACCGCACCAGACTTCATAATCTTCGTATAATAATAGTAATAATAACCTTTGTCATATATTTTTCAATGTAAAACACTTGTGATTGTGTGCAGGAATACTTAAGATTGCATAATTCAATAAGCTTGTTTTTCTTTTGTAAATCAGTCATGTCTGGATTTGGGGTTGCCTCTTCGTACATCGCTACTTTAAAGTACTCGTGCAAATATCCTTCTTGCAAAAATTCCTGTTTCTACATTGTACGGAAATCTGTTTGTATATACAAAAATAAAGTATTCCATCGTTTTCCTAAAGTTGAAAAAACTGTTGCTGCATGAAAGGCAGCTTGTAAGATATCTCCCACTCGTCAAGTTTTCAATTATTACGCTTGTGAGGATCATTTTTCAATATTTGATCGTAATAATCCGCAAAATCCTTCACGTCTCAGATATCTTACTATAGCAGTGTCCCTGAATACAGTTTTAAATTCAAATAATAGTCAACCTACTAAACCAGGTTCCAGTTCAGTACCTATAGTTTTAATCAATGACCCTCCTTCTGGAGAGGCTACCACAAATTCAACCCCTTCTGATCAAAATGAAAATTCCAGTGTTATTCTGGAAGATCAAAACATTGAAATCAGTGGAAGTGGTTCTGGAACAGAATCTAATTATTTAGATAATTATTCTTTTTTGTTCTGGTACATCAAAGAAGGAAATGAGCCCTAAGGAATCAATTATGTATAAAGTCCACCGGAATGTTTGCTCAAGGCTATCCAAATTAAAATCAATTTTTATTGTCGCTGGAGTTGACAAATCAAACTATTTCAATTTATTGAAGGCTGGCAAATAACAATTAGATCTGTTATGTCAGTATGGAGAAGAGCTTGAAATATCTTTGTTTTAGAAATTTAAATCAAGTTTCTCTGGAAAATTTATTTGGTCAAGTAAGACAGCATGGTATCTTCAATACAAATCACACCTGTGATCAGTTGTTGCTACCTTAAAAACAGTAGTTATTAATAATTTCATCACACCTTTTTCTAAAGGTAATTGTGAAATCGATTTTTGTGATACTTTGGTCGATTTCAGTGACTTTTTGGATAAATATGACCAAAGTAATGATATAGTGCTTGATTTAGATCCTGAGGTTCTAAGTGACTCTGGCATGGAAATAATGGACAGTTCTGTTGAATGGAATCCTTCAAATGGTTATGTGGCTGGGTACATTTTGGACAGACTCAAAATTGATAGTAATTGTGAATGCTGTGCAAAGTTATTTTCTTTGGTCGTCACTCTGAAAAACATCTGTTTGTGACGTTTAAAGAGCATGGTGAGGAAAAGCGATTGAAGTATGCAAGAGAAGATTTAATTAACCTCATTGATCTTCTGGATGAAAAGCTGTATGCATTTTTAGAGCAGCATGGTACAGACCAACTGGAAGTCAAATTTAAACGGAAGTATTCCTGCATCCTTCAAAATTACAGCTTTTGTCAGCAGCAAATATGTAAAGAGAAATTCTTTGAAAAGGAGTGGTGAGACTACTAATAGTCATATATCAACAAATAAGAAATTCACGACAGCTAAAGTCAGGTAATGCTTTTTTATGAAGTCCAGCACTCTTCATTCATTGAATTTTTTAATTACTTACTTTCAGTAACTACTGTGATATTACACCTAAACAATATATTTTTTTGTTTCATAGTTGCAGCATCCTTGGGGGGAGCAGTAGGACGAAGAATAATTATTTATTTTGTTACTCTCTGTAAGGTTAAAGCCATCAGGAGCTTTTAGTTTTAAGTATGACGAATATCTTGTTTATTTTTAACTTTGATTCCATCTTTGAAGAAAATTTTTACACTATAAAAAAATAATGTTTTCTCAGATTATATTTTCATTTCAGTTATTTATTTAACTACAGAGATTTATTTCTTGTTGTTTTAGTATGAATGTTTACGTTTCAGTAATAAATATACCTCATGATGGATTAACTAATAGGTAGTGCTTGCTGAACACTTCCTTTGATTACTGAGGGTTCGTTTTTATCTTTTTTTATGCTACTAATGTATCATTTGTATTTTTTTTTGAAACATCACTTATTCTCTTAATAATATAGAGAAAGCTCCGGATGTCTAAAAATACCTTTATTATATATAATACCACTGTATTATTGATATCTTCACAAAATAAAAACCAGAACTGCCCAAGGGCAAAAAATGAAAGAAACCTTGAATACAAATATTTCACTGACAACTCAAAATTAATATTTAACGCACAAACGGAATCGTGGGACGAAATTTTTTTAACAAATTCTTTAGACGAAGCTACAAATTTATTAATAAACAAAATTCAAAAAGTAATTGAAGTTAGTACTAATAAGGTTAAAATAAGTCACAAGGAAAAAAGCAGAAATGATTGGATGACCAAAGGACTAATAAAATCTGCAAACGAAAAAAAAGACTGTATAAAATCATGAAATATTTACCCACGAAAGAAAATATAGATCATTATAATCAGTATAAAAACAAATTTATAGAACTTTTGAGAAAAGCAAAAAAAAATTACTATATAAAACAATTGAATAATAATTCACATGACTCTAGACACCTATGGTCCACTGACAATGATATATTCAATAAGTCATCCAATTCAAAAAACAATATTAATGAAATAAAAACAAAAACAGGACAGAAAACAGACAATATTCAGCAAATATGTGATGAGTTCATAGAATTTTTCACGAATATAGGAGGAAACTTAGCAAATAATATCAAACAAAATGCTGATATTCATCTGCATGAAACAAGACTGAATAATTCATTTGTATTAACTGAAGTAGACTATCAGAATGTTTTCAATGCCATTATGACTCAAAAAATAAAAAAAGCCCTGGAGTTGACGAAATTAGAGCTGAACATCTAAAGATACTGGCCAAACAAATAACAGAATCACTTGCTTATATCATTAACAAATCCTTCCAATCTGGAGTATTTCCATCAGCTTTCAAGACAGCAATCATCATACCTATCTATAAATCTAATGATAATACGGACGTCACTAACTATCGAATATGGTTTTATAGCGGGCAAATCTACAACATATGGGGTATTAAGTATAGTAGATGAAATAACCCAAAATATAGATGAAAAAGTACCATCGATATGCGTATTTGTGGACTTACAAAAAGCGTTTGACACAGTTAACCACAATATACTTTTGGAAATCTTAGAAAGAATAGGTTTTCGTGGAAAGATGTATACTTTAATGGAAAATTATTTATCAAATAGACCGCAATCAGTAAAATTATTAAGCTCGTATAGTAAAGAAATGTTTGTTAAATGTGGTGTTCCACAAGGTACAATTTTGGGTCCTCTGTTATTCAATATTTATTTAAACGATATATTCAAAATTAACAGTACTGGTAAAATAGTCAGTTTTGCAGACGATACTGCTATACTCTATAAAGGTAAGGATTGGAACGACTTAAAAGATATTATCCAAAATGACTTTTGCAAAATTATTCAGTGGTTTAATAACCGAAAATTAACAATTAACTTTACTAAAACTCATTTTTTTGCCATTTTCATCACTATCTAATCATCTACCAAAATATAACCACCTTCGGTTTAAGGTAAATGATAAAAATATAAAAATCAATAGAGTTAATGATACAAAATATTTAGGAATTTATCTAGATCCCCACTTGAGATGGGATGTACATATTTCTCACATACTAAAGAAAATTAGATTCATAGCATATAAAATAAAATTTCTAACCGGTATATTAACTGAATATTATCTACGAATAATATATCAAGCTTTAGTCGAGCCACACATAACATATGGTATAGTAGTGTGGGGTGCTGCATGCACGACATACTTTAACGATTTAGATGTACTTCAAAGAATAATTTTAAAATCAATGTTAGGCAAATCAAAATTATACCCAACTAATGACTTATATAATGATGCACAAGTATATGATACTAAACAACTTTACTTCTTACATACCATCACTCATTATCACAAAACTATTAGTGAACACGACATAATTAAACATAATCATAAAACCAGATATAAATTACGCGGAAAAAATGTTCCTAAACCAAACAAATCCCTAATGAAACAATGTCACCTGTATATAGCTCCAAAATTGTACGAACATTTAACACGAACAAATAATTTAAAACAATTACGCAATACATTAGGCTTCAAAAAAAAATCAAAAAAATTTATTAACACGATTGGGAGAAATCAAATTAATAAAATAATCTCAAATATTACACAATAAATGCTCTACCATTCTTAACAATAATTTCTTTTTTCTCTCTATTTTATTATATTTTGCAATTCAACATACATATGATCCATGCACAGGCGTTGTCCTCCTATGGATATATTATATTTATTTACTCGTTTCATGTTCCCTGTATTTTAGAGTAAATAAATATTATTATTATTATTATATATATTTAACTATTTAATAAATATTTTATTAATTCCGCTTTTTTTTATTATCCCAAAATTGGTTACCAGCAAAACTGCTGAATCAGGTATTTCCTTTATTGAGGATATTTTATGCGTTTATGCTCATAAAATATTTCGCCAATATGGGAAATATCACTTTCAGCAGATTTTAAATTGTATACAAACTAAATCCTCGGCACATTCCTAGCATTCCTAATCTCCCGGCGCATTCTTTGAATTCCTTCGATAGTTCCTCTAGATGTCCAGGCAAATAGGCGGCGCAACCATCTGACAAAACGTCAACGGTATTGCCGTTGTTTGACGTTCAGCTCCCACTTCTTCAGTCTTATGTGTTTTGTGCCTGCCAGTACGGTATTTTATTCAATAGTGATGTATTTTCCGTTTATGGAGGTCGAAAAAAGAAAAATATTAGTCGTCGATTAAGATTCGTTTAGGAATTACCATAAAGCAGCGCGCTTTGAATGCCTCCCAGTGGGGAGGCGATACTTCTCTTCCTGTAGCCATAACTCAACTGTTTCTCAGCAGATGCGACGCTTTAACGTGACAGCTCGCGGTGTAATTAAGGATGCCTTTGTAACATGAATTTCGTAATGCGACAAGAGAGGAGTCTCGATTTGCTGTGCTGATTTATTCGGTACTTTGTAAGTACGCCGGGGGAAATTTTTAAAAAGTTTCACTCAAAGTGGATGGACTATTTTGCTACAATTAGTAATGATTTATGTAACAATTTGGATTATACTACAGAATTTCCTTAAAAACAAATCTCAAATTCGATTTATCTGGAAGACGTTTCTGAAGCTAAATTGATTCAAATAATACAAGGTCAACCATGAGATCTTGATTAATAAGTTACATTGTCTAGGAATTTGCGGAGATCTTTTATCATGGCTGAAGTCTTATTATTAGTATTAGTGTGCCATCTGGAGTACCTCAAGGTTCCCATCTGGGTCCTCTTCTTTTCAATATAAACGTGAATGATATTATATACTGTTTTAAGTCTGTTAGTTTTCTAATGTTTGCAGATGATTTGAAATTATTCTTAAAAATCAAATCAAATATAATAATGATTGTTTAAAACGATTTGACTTCATTAAGTCTCTGGTATCAAATAAATAGAATGGAACTTAATATGGAAAAATGTCATTTAATGATCTTCGGCCGTAACAAGGACCCCATTGATCATACTTATACCATGAAAGGTTGTCCTCTAAAGAGTGTATCCCAAGTTAGAGATTTAGGGGTAATTCTTGACCCAAAATTATCCTCTATTACCCAACTAAATATGATCGTTTCTAAATCTCTTCAACTGTTGGGATTTATAAAACGATGTGCTAAATATTTTCATAATATTCAGTCATTTAAAACGTTGTTTTGTTCTTTGGTGATGCCCCATTTAGAGTATTGTTCTTGTGTTTCGTCACTTAACTATAATGTTCATATTCAGGCAATTGAGAGAGTGTAACATCAGTTCTTAGGATTCATTTCATTCAAACAATTATGGTTGAAGATATTATCTATTCCGTCATTGAAAGCTCTCTCAATATCTCAACCCTTCAGGTAAGACTGAATCAGAGTGACCTGACACTATTTTACAACATTTTGCACTCTCTTAGTTTTGCCCCAGAACTTTTGAAGAATATTAATCTCCATGTGCCTTCTCGTCCAACAAGATTGAATCAACCATTCCATGTGAAATCATTTCGTACTAATTATGCTAGTAATCCCTTCCAGTCTAGACCTTCAAGGTTAGCAAATCAGTATTCTAATAAGTTGGATTTCTTCAGAAGTCAGAAAACATTCAAAATTCAATTAGATTCCTGTCTGTAATATTTAATATTTGATTTCCCTACATATTTAAATTTT